CCATCTGTGCACAAACTTATCTCATGCCCTCATTGGTCATGTGCACGTTCGTGTGTGTTGGAGGAGGGACTCTGTAAGGAAGTGGCAGATTTTTTCCGGCTGTGTATTTTCAAATTCTAGCGATCTCGAGCTGGTTTCTCCAAAATTACCGACCCCACCTTTAAATAAATAAATAAACAAACTGAGAAGTTATTATTTCTAAAAAAATTAATTGATTCTGGGAATACCCAATATTTGTTAGCTGGAGTAATCTGCAAATATACATTTTTAAATGTAGCTTTGAATTGTTGATGACAAGTGATACTTGAAAGGTCTGGGTGAAGTCCATTCCACGTTCTAACTCCGATTATGGATAAGCTGTGTGATTTGATGGTTGTTCTACATGGCTTGCTACACAACCAGTTAGGATGCCTAGTTGGGTATTTCCTGACCGTGGTTTGGAACTGCTTTTGAATGTTATTAGGCATTTTGTTATGGAAAATGTTGTGCATAATCAGTACTGTTTTAAGCTTTACTATGTCAACACATTTTAATAGATTGAGTTTTTTTAAATATGGGAGTTGCATGTTCATATTTACCAACACCACAAACTATTCGTAATACTTTTTTTTGGGATGTTATTATTTTTTGTAGATTTGTTGAGTACGTGTTTCCCCATACTTCGGAGCAGTAGTAAAGGTAAGGGAGAAATAGACTGTTATAAAGAGTTCTGAGTATTTGTTCCTCCAGAATGTTCTCAGTATGATACAAAATACCTATTGTTTTTGACAGTTTAGTTTGTACATAATTGATATGGTGCTTCCAGTTTAGTTTTTCGTCAACAAGCAGTCCTAAAAATGTACATGCACCAACTTTTTCTATCTCGGTATTGCAAATCTGTATAATGCAGTAATTTGTACTCTCAGACTTTGTATTGAATAACATGTAATTTGTTTTGGCCACATTAAGGGATAATTTATGAACTGCAAACCAGTTATATAGTATTTCTAATTCCGCATTCACAATTTTAACAAGATCGCCAAGATTATGATGGGAGCAGAGAATGATGGCAAATAAAATGAATTTGAACAGATCCGAGGTGTTGATAATGTCATTAATATAAATCAGAAACCGTTTTGGACCTAAAATTGATCCTTGTGGGACTCCACATGTTATAGGAAGCTTGTTTGATTTCGCCTCGTCTATATCCACATATTGTAGCCTATTTATCAGATAACTCTTAACCCATTCTTTTACTTGACCCCTTATGCCATAATGTTCTAATTTGTGTAGCAGTATAGTATGGTTCACAGTATCAAAAGCCTTTTTAAGGTCAATGAATATACCAGCTGTAATAATTTTTTTCTCAATGTTGTTGGTAATTTCTTCGAACAGTTCAATTACTGCTGAAGAAGTAGAGTGATTTTTCTGAAATCCATATTGGCTGGGGCATAGTATATTACATTTGCTGAGGAATGACTCCAGACGGTTGTTGAAGAGTTTTCCAAGATTTTTTAAAATTGTGGTAGTAAAGAAATGGGTCTATAGTTATTAAGACTTGATTTATCACCAGATTTGAAAACCGGAATCACCTTGGCGATTTTCATTTCATTGGGGAAAATACCTTGTTCATTTCTGATTGCTCAAATATAGACATCTGAATAATTATTTGACTGTGTGCTCTCCAAATATGTTCAAATTAGTGGTGATATATTGGCTTGACATCTCATTTAGTGAGGACAGGCAGATTGCAGAGCCATGATTGAAAGCTTAATGAATGATTCATAATCTGAAATGAAATGGACATTTTCATTTGGGCATCTGCAACAATCATTAGCTGGACACGTACGATTTCTACATCAGAAATAAACAAACCATGTCAATTTGGAGGTTTACTTGATTGTACCTGGAAATGTTGGTAGGTGCTGTAATAATAAACACCATAGAATGTGCTTATTAACAAACTAATATTGAAAACTCTCCATTTCCAATTGAATTATAGTTTTCTCACGTTTCATTTAGGTTTAATTTGCTGTTTGAGGCTGTATCCTACGTGTGCTTTACAACATATTGCTAACCCTCTGCTCTCTTGATGTTCCAGGAATGTTTTGAGGAAGGGATTGTTGTCTAGTGCGAAACAAACAGATGGGATGAAAACTTGACCCACTTTTTCATCTGGACCACTCTGAATAGAAAGGAAGGAGGGTTATTGAAAGATCAGTAGGATATATATACGGTATGTCATTAATTTATAATGGATGAATACAAAGTGCATTAAATACAGCTCTTTGTTTCTTGATCTTCCTCACTATACTTGCTGGTTTAGTGGCACTCTTTCATTGCCTGCTTCCTCCAGTCAGTTGTTTATGTTACATAAATCAGAGAACGGGGTTTCCTGACTTCTCACATCAAAAAGTAGGTCAAGGATCGGTCATATAAAAGATGTGCTTGTCAGACGGAGAGACAGAGAGAAAGACCTTGATATCCCAGCAATCCTCTAAGGATATACTCAGTTCTTTCTGGGCATGCAGCTGCTGTACCTCGTGATAAATGACCTGTGCTTTGAGAAGCAAGGGGCGCAGCTCGGCCATGAACCCTATGCTTTAAACCTTGTATGAAGACTCGGGGGAAGGGAGTATTTAATATACAAAGGTTGTTTTGTAATGCCCATTTTCCAAAAGTAAGCCTAGCTTAGAGATTGCATTCATCTCTAAAAATGGAAACGCTTAAATGCATTTGTATTCCTTTGTAGGAAGATAAAAAAACTCTTACTGTTGTCAATACAATATTTGAAAATGAAGACCTGCATCCTGTCACCTGTGTTGCTCTTTGGCTTTAACTTTCTCATCACTTAGACACACGGGAACGTTTGCGTTTACGCACCGTATGCGTTTTCAAAAAAGTCTTCAGTTCACACGAGACCGCTGGAAACGCTGGAAACGCTGGAAACGCTGTAGTACATATGCCGAGACTGTAAGTGGCGCTGCTGCCGCCACAAAATACACCAAAAGCAGCGAAGAAGACCCCGGAGCATGGTTGCCATGGTTGCCCTTCTGTTTATTCTCCGCGGTGGACGGCGTGTGCTCCTGCTGTAATTCTCTCCGGTAGTCCACCAGCAGATGAAAAACACCCACCTCTCCGCCTCTTCCAAGGGACGATGGAACCGTGCGGCAGAGTTTCCGTTAACATTTTTTTTCGCCGATCAACATGTCCGTTAAAGTTGAAATCTTCCGGACAAAATTAGAAAAGTGCCGGTCAGAGGTCTTCTTTGTTATTTATTGAGCTTTAAAACAAATTGATAACGACTCTATATAATAATATAATAATAATTAACGGAGCCTCTCTTTTCCTCCCCTCTTCTGACAGCCCAGCAGCTGATCTCTGGGGAGACGTGGGGAGAGGGAGGCGGGGCTATTTCATCGTTATCAGAAAATGATCGTATAGGGCGTACACACGGAGCCGTTTGACCCCCCAGAGCGTTCCGTTTGCAGATCTATCCACCTTGGGACCCGTTATCGTTTGCGGGGTCCGTTTCTATCGTTTTGTTACAGCCTCGTGTAAACGAAAGGGCTATACGCAAGAGAAACTATGCGGATACAACCCGTATCGTCCTCGTGTAAACGGGGTCTTAGGCAAAATCGCTCTCCAAGGCGTGGGCGAGTGACACCTCTATCCACACGATGATCAGAACAAGGTGATCTTTATGCCCCGCACTATATTCACCCTCATTTTGAATTGGAAAAGAAAACATTAGACTCCGATTTATACTTTCATTTGCGGCGATTTGAAACAAACCCACTTGACACTGATTGTTATTGTGCATGTGATATAATTGCCTAGGTCAAACTGTATGTCAACTGTTTTGAAATCCAGTTTCAGCTGATAACATGAAAGGGGTCGTATTTTTACCACATGTAGAGAACAGTTACCCTCTAGCATCATTTTCTCCTCCCACGCCTGTTTAACAATGCCATGAATTGTGTAGCAAACTATTGCAATAATTGCCTGTTTTTTGGACCTCGGGGCTGGAGGAGGTAATTCTTGTGCACAGAGATGAGATTTAAAACGTGTATATCCTGCCTTGGGGGAGCACAGGTAAGGGGCTAATGTACACATCAACTGGAGCAGGAGACAGGATGAGCTGCAGAGCGGCTGCAGTTCAGCACCATGGACAGAGACGAGGCTTCACGGACACATCGCTGGCCCTGGTGCTGAAATTCAGCTGAATTCTTTGCTTAGAAGAATACACTGTTACCCATGTTATGATTTTACATTAGTTAAAGTTAAAGCAATAGGCATGGTAGTTATTTAAAAACAGCCAATTATTCCAAGTTCCTATGTCTTGATTATCTTCACATTCATTCTGAAAATGTAGTTTTCCTGGGACTCACAATCTGCATTTCGACACGTTGTAACTGCCTGGTGTCACTGTTTATTTCACCACCAAATCAATGCAAAAAGTCCCGATCCCTTTGTTCATGACTAATATATATTCCTAATAAAAATATATTTTTTGTTGATCCTATTGGGGATTCTCTTTTCATCCTATGCTTGAGATTCACACAGCAAGCTGTCTGTCTTATCATGCACAGAGGCAGCTCGGCAGGTATACAGCAGGTATAGAGCAGGTATAGGGAATCAAAGCCCAGCTGACTGCAAATATCTCACCATCGCTTAGGGTGTGCGATTTTAATGAACCACAGAAATATAGCTGTACAAAGTGTTTTTGATGTGACTGTTGTATGACGTGCTAACAGGGCTTCATGCTTATATACAGCCCTATATATTTAACTAGCCTGCTCTATGCATGTCTGACACGTCGTCTGCCTCCTCCAACATAAAAGCAGTAAATCACCCTTGGCCGTCAAGCCGCTAAAGAGTCTGCCCCGCATAAAGCCCATGCAGCCTTTCCACCAGGCCGTTATATCCCCCCTCCTCCCCTTCCTCCCCCTCCTCGTTTCCTCTCCTCCTCCACACACTCCTCTTGCGCGCGCGGTGAGCAGCAGCGGCTTCAGCGCTTCTCTGACGCACCATCGGAGATGAGCATCCCAGTCCCACAGGCTGTCAAGGCACAATCTCTCCACATCTCCCCCTCGGACCTCTGCGGTCAAGAATTCAACGTCATTTGTTATTAATCTGTTTACCGTGTCGCTTCGTTGTCTCGTAATCCGTCAGATTCAGCATTGCGTTGGAAGGGATGCCCACAGTTGCCATCTCTTGGCTTGGAATTTACTTCGGAGGTGATTTCTGTATCCGCAACAACTGTCAAGGAAAGTGATTGATCCCTGACTACTCTTAGGAATCTTTTTGTTTTCGGGGCATCCTGCAGGACATTCTTCTAAGATAAGTGGTTCAAATTAAAGGTGAAGAGGGGTTGAATTAGAGGGCTGCTGTGACAGGAGATCGTTTGGATGACGGACACCGAGAGGCTATAGCTTTGCCACTGCAACGCGAATTTCTGCGCCCTTGGAATATTCTGATAGAGGAACTGTTATAGAGTAGAAACATTTTTTTATTTTTCTCAGTACAGTAATAATCAATACGACGAGTTTGGGCACTGCAGGGGCTGCTGCGGCTTTCGTGTCTGCTCTGTTTTGAAATACAATTTCCTTGACGGGCGGGCGTCTGAGCATCCCGGACTAGCCCGACTTTGCGATGCCCAAACAGTGAGGGCACGGTGGGATCTCACTTGGTCACCCTGCACTGTAGCATGGCTCCAGCCCGGAGGGACTGCAGCGGCTGGGAGATGTTCCTCCCGACGGGATGTCTGCTCCTCTCTGTTTTGCTATTTCACCCTGCCCTGGCCAAGGTGTGTAACGACCGCACCAAACACGGACAGGACAACAGCTGGTTCGCCAGGGACGGGGAAAACTTGCCCATCATGGTGCTTATGCCCATGAACGAGTCGGCCCTGATGAGCGGCATCAGCCAGGGCATCGAGCCCGCGGTCCAACTGGCCATCCAGCACATACGGGAGTCCAGGAAGTACTCGTTCTCACTCATCACCAAAATCTATGACACCGAGGTAAACACACACACAGTAAATCCCTTTCACTAAGCTGCTGCTGCTGGTTGGCCCAGGCGTGTTTAAAACAGTTGAGTGTGTGTGTGTGCGCGTGCGTGTGTGCATGTGCGCCGTGTGAATGGCGCGCGCATTGCCCCGCAGCACTCCAAACATTGTGCGTCCAAGGGGAAACATTGGGTTTTGTTATGATTGGAATATGTGCAGCCTCGTTGTCGGTGAGCGTGTTTTCAATGCGCAAAAGTCAAATGCTGTCTCTTTACCTCCCTTACCCGATGTTAATGCCTGTCCCCCATAGTGTCTCTGTGCTGTTGAGTGTCAGTGTCAGTGCGTTTTATTTGTAACCCGTTTTCACCAGGCACTGCATCAGCCGGGCACTCCAAAGCCACTCTCTCTTGCTCTCCCTATATTGGACGTTTTAATGATGACTGCAATATCAGGATGAAACGGAGTGTGATACAAATGTCATTCATCGCTATCACCCAATTTAAATAAAAACGCTGCATTCGGTGGTTTTGCTACGATCACTTTATAAGATTTGTGTATGACTTAAGATGGCTTTGTGCTATAAATATTTTCAGTCACGAATCAGTGAATCTGTTAACGAGTGAAGGGCTGGTTCTCATGGTGCCAGAAGATGGCGGTAATTCGATGTACGATTTCTTCTGACTCCTTGCACCCTTGTAAGCAGCTGCGTCCCACAGCCTTCCAGCTCCAAATTAGCATCTGCTTATTTGATAACAATAACATCAATAACATACCCCTGCAGTTGAAGTCCTCTCGAAGTTTAGCTGAATCTCTGCAAGATTTGACATTGTTGTTTACACTTGATTTATTTAAAACAGCCAACAGTTCTTCAGTCATTCACCTGCTTTTTGGCACACAATGCAATTGAGGAGCTTAAAACTGCATTTAAGAAATAATATTTAATTACAATGCATATAGAAAATAAAGACAGAAAGATAGTATTAAAGCTGTTTAATCAACCAGTTGCCATACCAACATGAAGGGACGTTGATAGTTTGACAGATCGGCCAAATCAACAATAAGACTATTGTCCAGTACATAAGATGACTTTGACTTGCTACTTAAATTAACAATATAAAATACAACCATATTAACAATTTATGCTATAATTCCCCCTCTAGTAATACTTTTTGATTTCCTGTCGAGCACTTTTGCAGCTCATTGTTGGTGCACAGGTGTGTCTGTGTGAAACGGCACACACATCTCTTTTGACAGAGGTAAGCCCTCACAGGCAGCATGCGCTCAGACCATGGGATTAATATGCTCTTATGCGAGTTATGATTTTTCTCCTTCTATTCCCGGGAGAGAAAGATGAGCTGGAAGCATGAGGTCAGTGGGCCAGCCTGACTTCCGCTTGCTGGGGATGTCTGATAGTGATGCCCGCTTTCTAAAACTGACGATCAATGAAACTTATGATAACAGTGATATACGATGACTTTCTGGTCATAGGCTAAACTCTAATGCGCCGTGGCACTTCATCTTCTGGTGTATTTGACATTTGTTTAGTCAACAGGCCAGCTGAAACTCTAGGCTCTGATCATGTTTTTTGAAATGTCAATATAAATGTAGCGCCTGCACTAAAACACCCATGGTTTTCACCTCAATAACACATACATGCTAACATATAAAGTCAACACTTATTACATTATTGTTTTTACAGACCTCATATACAGTGGCGGTTCTAGCTGATATGGCGTCCTGGGCGGTGCACCTTTCGTTGTTTCGTCTTTCAGTATGCACAATGTAGGCCTATTACCTTTTCAGAATAGGAACTGTTAGAACAATAACACAACTTCCTACACTACTTCTTTCTTGGCATAACATATCTCACAAAAGATGGGCTACAACATATCAGAACTGTATAGGCCTATATTACAGACAGATTTTAATTATGCCTCCAGTATGGAAAATGACACAAAGGACTTGTCAGTACAATTACCTTTGAGGTGTTTGCTAAATGAAGGTGACTAAATCAATAACGGTTATAGTGGTTGTTTATAACGTTTTTTTTGTGCCGCCCCCTGTCAAAATGCCGCCCTAGGCATCCGCCCATGTCGCCCATATCAATATCCGCCACTGCTCATATACATGCAGTCCAGGGCGACAGTATTCAAACATAAAACACCCAACCCTGTTTTAAACAGCTTCATAGCTATATAAGTCAGTGTATCATGCAGAGTGATGGAAGACCCCAGTATTAACAACAGATGAATGCATAGTGTAGTTAACTGTAATTGCTTAAGAAGGACCAAATGTTAATACTGTACTAGATCTTAATGAAGAATGTTGCACAGTGGTAGCCCGTTGGCTCTGTCTTAAATAAATCTGAGAAAAAAGTGCCTTGCCAGCAACCCAGAGTATATTTACAAGCTATTTGAAATCATTTGGCACACCCTGCCATGGTTACAGTCAACACAGGACCACAGAGTGCAAATGGCAATATATAACTGCAACAGAGTTCATGTATATTTACAGAAAACAATACAAAAGTATGAGACTTACAGTAGGTGGGAGAATCACAATTGTAGATATCTTTTAAGATATGAGAAACTATTATTGTTTTTTCATATAAATTGAAGCGGTGTGAATTGTTCTGATTGTCTCTGGAGTATTTCCAGGTGGATGGAACCTTTGCCAAGGACAGAGAGTACTATATTGCTTTTGGAGCCTCTGACATACTGTATTTATGGGAGCAATAATGGGAAGTTAGTGATGGCTGTGCTATTAGTAATTTATAATACATGTGTTCATAATAGTTTTTGATGTATAATCATTTCTTACACATGCATAAAGACCAAAGACATTCATATGCACACAGCTTTCCCACATACCACATGCTTATGTCAGAAAACAATACATGCATCAGTGGTTTATTGCAGCCAGCAGCAGGCCAAGTGTGTGTCTCTTCTGCTTGTACGTACGTGTGTGTGTATGTGTGTGTGTGTGTGTGTGTGTGTGTGTATGTGTGTGTATGTGTGTGTGGGCACTGGGATTTAGCCTGGCAGATGTAAGTAATCAGTCCCTGAGCAGAGGCTCTTTATCCCTTTATCCCCTGTCGGTGGAGCTACAGTACACTGAGCAGGCCCAGTCCATCCCCTGGTGTTGTGGAGCTGGGTGGGTCTGCCGATGATGTAGAGACACCGGGGGGCTGTCCAACACTAAAAGGCCTGAGAGCTGAAGCTGTGATGCTAACACGAGGTAGTTGGTTGCTGGAGGACTGGAGAAGCAGTTTCTAGAAGAAGAGCAGATGTCCTGATGGGGAAAGCCTGGAGATGAGATGTAAAATGCAGGCTGGTGTGAAACCGGCTGGATCAGGCCAAAGCCAGACGTTTTGAACAGTACAGGCATTGTAGCAGGCTGAGGCAAATGCAGATGAGAATACATCTTTGCTTTAAACCCAGAGCATTGCAGGTAGAAAAGAAGCAGGATGGATTATTTCAACTGGGAGGCTTAGTGCTGGAGCAGGAGTTGGTTCTCCATCACAGCTCTAGATGTGTGAGTGTGGGCTTTAGTGTAACCGAGGACTGATACTGTAACTCTGCAGGCTTAGAGGATCAACGCTTTGGAGAGGACAGGAAGGACTGGAGGAGGATGGAAGGGAGACTTTGGGCAGTGAGAGCGTTCTATAGCTAAGCTACGCTAGTTCAACAGCTTAGGATGCATGACAGGCTCTTGAGAGGAGCCACTCAGGGAAAGATCATGTTTTAGCAGTATAGTTCACAATGTACTGTGAATGGTATCAGGTTTGTCATCACTGTTGTGTTGTCTTCAGCTCTGGAAAAAGACATCAGACAATGGATGCAAATGGAAACCCTTAATAGATGAAATCAATATCGGGAAACCAAATGGATTCATACTCACGTCTTCTATAAAAGTTTGCTAATCATATTAAAGTTGGTATAGCACAGTAGTTGTCAGACTTTGACAGATCTTTGGCACTTTCATAGGATTTTGAAATGCAATTTGGAAACACGCCTGCCGTGTCCTATATTGAGGGAAACTCACTTTTAAGGGGACGCGCTTCCTCACTATCATGTTTCCTATATTCCAGCAGTCAGAGAAGAGTGAACACATGTATTCAAAGGCAAATCAATACAACCACAAAGACACAGAGTCTGCAATTGGAGATAGGGATCCTGCCTATGTACAGTGCCTCGGATACAGTATGCAGATGGTATTTATAGTATATGACTTTCCATCCATGCAATATGGGCCTCCTGAGACTGTGTTAGCAGTGACCTCGGTTCAGACTGCACACAGACTGCTTCCCTGCTCTTCTCTGAGGACAAAATGCAACATGTCACATTTGTGCACATGTAGGCAAGCCCGAAGCCACCGTACAGTACATTCGTTCACAGGAGGAAGAACCCCCACCCACTGAGCACATTTAAGGCGTTCTGTCATTTTGTCAAAACAAGTTATGTTGTTAGGAAATAGGCTTTACCATAATGGAGATCAGGATGCTGCAAAGCATAAGTCTTACGTCAAAGCGTTGTGCTTCAGATTTGAGGAGAATGTGCTTTAGCAACGTGTTATTGTTTATAGTTTATGTCATTTATATATTTTTCCAGTGAGAGCATCCCAGAGTGCCTTCTACCGATCTAACTGATTCACACCTTTTGAGCTTTTGTGTAAAACCATGTGACATGGGCCAAATGAAGCAGCGCCTTTGGACATCTTGTATGTCAGGGTCTCAGATTGTATGCCAGATATTATCTAAATATCTGACATCCACTCAGCGCCCAGGCGGTGACCCGGGGGAGGTCAACACAGATTTCCTGCCACTGCTCCTAGAGAGGGGAATGTTCAGGGATAGTAAGGAAAAGCAGAATGTGACAGTTCGGGTGCTCTCTAGGCATACAGAAAGTGCTGAGTGTGGCTGTATCCACTGACCCGACACAGATAGTGGGGATCAATGTGCAGCAGCCCTTCTCATGCAACGAACAGGATCTCAGGGCAGAATCAGAGAGAGAGGC